TACTGAGGCAGCATATCCAAGACACCTCAAGCCAAATGAAGAAAGAAGATTCCACAGCATTTTTCAAATTAAAAAGCCAGTAGGCAAATCTTTGAGACTAGATAGTTCAGCTTGAGGGTCTGAGAAAGCCTCTGTTCATCTCACACCAGCAACAAATCTTTAAGAAAGTAAATCCACATGCCCTGAGATTGCTCCTGGCATGAATGTGACACTATAATTCAACATCCTGAATTAAGAGAGATGTGTTATTTTAGCTTGAAGCAGCAAATTAAAAATAAAAATCCTAAACTACTATACCACAGACTGTCAGTTCTAGAGAAGCACTGGGTTCAGCTTTCTGCACATCTGTATTTAATGTCAACTGCACTTGTAGGAGAGAAAAGCAAGATGTCTCACGTCTTGGGGCAACAATGAAAGTTGCCCTGAATGTAGGCCTGCTTTGCTTTGTGTAATAGAGACCTAAGGTCATCCTCTAGAAAAGGTGGAGTAATTCTTATAGAGTATATAACAATTTTATAGCCTGTTTTCATCATGAATTTTCCCATATTATAATTTTAACATGATATTAACAACTTCATAAAATTCAGCAAAATAGAATAACCATTACCTTCTCCTGGTAGACAGTCATTACAAATAATGTTACACCTAACCGTCTTGGTATACAAGCTTTATCTCATTTTGACATGTCTTCAGGAGAGTCACAGAAATGGAAACAACAGGGCAAAATGAGTAGTAATGTTTAAAGCTCTGAAGTATACTACATAAATTCTTCTCAAAAGAGATCACATTCATACAAGCAAGATGTAAGATGCTCAAGTGCATAGAATGTATTTAAAATAAATTCACTTCAAATGGAAGATAGACTATGTCAATGAATAAAAGTTCCTGAATGCCAAGCAACGGCTTACACCTGGCCCACAACTACTGAAAAGCTAGAAGATTTTTACCTACAAATCTAGATTTCCCATAACCTCTCAGGGAAACAGTCAATGGGAGAAGAGGAGTCATTTCCCCCATAAAAGCAGGCACACACTCTCTAGTCCACCACAGTCCTCATACTTATTTAATTTATGCAGATGAGCTTGCTCTGGGTCTGCTTCACTCCACTTAGTTACATACTTCACATCTGCTTTGTATACTCTAAGATACACTTTTCACAGTCATGTTATAGATAGGGTCAGGTTGACAAGGAGTGATCCCACTGAGCTTTGGGCAGCATGACCCAAGAGAGGCTTACTTTGGGTTCTTGCTAGTTATAAGCAGAGGAAGAAATAACAAGCTCTGTTTGGAAAATACTACCAGCAGCAGGATAGCAAGAGAGTTCACTAACAAATGCACCCAAACTGAAGGTTAGTGAGGTGCATAATGACTTAAGCAGGAGCCCATGTTTATAAAATGACTGGGATTCCTGGAGAAGCTGCCTTAACTCAAAGCAGGAGAGAAAACCCCCACAAAATCAAGAACAATTGATCCAAAGATGTCTGAAGATGGGATAGGCTCCTACTAGAGAGCCACACTTCCACTGAAAATAGACACCAGACTAGAGACCTACATTATTATATTTCCTCCCATAAATACATCAGTTCTTACTGAGTAGATTTCTTGATGAAACAACTCAAAACTAAAGGGTCTCTCTTGTGCTGGTCAAGTAAGTAAATGCTCTAGGACCACCGGCACTGCTGTGGACAGGGAATGCCGGGCAGCAGTTAAAGAAGAAAGGCTGTGGCTGATGACATGCATGCAGATGTCACACTCAATCTTTACTTCAGTGGAAAATGGCACCTTTAAACAAAAGGAAACTTTAATAACTGAAGTATAACGTGATACCGTTTAAAGAGTAAAATTTTTTTTTGAGACTGGGTATTGCTCTGTCACCCAGGCTGCAGTTCATGGTGTGATCTTGGCTCACTGTAGCCTCAACCTCCCAGGCTCAACCAATCCTCCCACCTAGCCCTCCAAGCAACTGGGGCTGCAGGCATGTGCTACCACAATCGGCTAATTTTTTGCATTTTTAGTAGTGATGCAGTTTTGCCATGTTGCCCAGGATGGTCTCTAACTCCTCAACTCATGCAATCCGCCTGCTTCGGCCTCCCAAAGTGCTGGGATTACAGGCATGAGTCACTGCACCTGGCCATGAGTACAAATCGTACATGTACAGTTTTACACGCTGAACACCGTTCCTGTACAATCACCACACAGATCAAGATAAAAACTAACCACAATACCCGGAAATGCCCTCTCCTTCACGTTCACTTCAGGTAATGGGGTTATGGGCAAATATCTAGGGGAGAAAAGTCAGATCCGAACCCTTCACTCATTACACCAAAACAAATTTCAAACGGTGCAAAAATTTAAACATATACAATTAAAAACTGTAAAATATTAGAAGGAAATAGGTATGTAAGTTTAAATCCAACAGTGGGAAAGGTATGAACCAAAACTCTGAAGCCATTAAAGACTGATCAATCTGACAATCTAAAAATTAAACATATCTAATTTTAAAATAATGTCAAAATTTAATTCTCAAAATAAGAAAAAAAACACAAATGACAAAGGGCTTTAAAAAATCAAAAGCACTTACAAATCAGTAAGAAAAAGGACAAATAAATAGAAAAAGGTGCAAAACAGACAACTGGCAGAAAAGGAACTACTTATAAACACAAGAAAAAATATCCAATCTCAGTCATAGAATGAATTTTAAAAACTGCAGAGAATTTATAAAGAACTCTTACAACATAATATTCAAAAGAGATATATCTCAACTAAGAAACTGAAAGAGGAGACAGTAACTTCTCCAAGGAAGATATACAAATGACAAACTCAAGAAAAGATAGTCAGAAATGCAAATCAAGACCACAATGAGCTGTCTCTTCACACTCACTAGAATGGCTATAATCATTACCGGCCGGAGCGGGGGCTCATGCCTGTAATCCCAGCACTTTGGGAGGCCAAGGCTGGGGGACTGTTTGAGCCCCGGAGTTTGAGACCAGTCTGGGCAACAAAACAAGACCCCATCTCAGTATTTTTTTTAAATTTTAAAATACTTTCAAAATGACAGATAATAACAAGTGTTGTCAATGATATAGAAAAACTGAAACCCTCAGACATTGCTGGTGGCAATGTAAAATGGTAGGGCCTCTGGGAAAACATTCTGGCAATTCCTCAACCAATTAAACATAGAGTTACCCCATATGACACAGCACCTCTATTCCTAGGTATGTATATGCCCAAGAGAAATGAAAATATGTCCACAAAGAACCTGTATAAGAATGTTTATAGCATTGTCACTCATAATAGCAAAAAGACGGAGGCAATCCAAATGCCTCTCAACAAATAAGAAATGTAGCATACTCACACAATGAAACATCATTTGGCCATAAAAATGAGTATTGATACATGCTACAATACGGATGAACCTAGAAATCATTACGCTAAATGAAAAGAAGCCAGTCACAAAAGATCGCATATTATATAACTGAATTTATACAAAATGCCCACAACAGAGAAATCTATAAAGACAAAAAGTATACTAGTGTGGAGAGAGGGGGAGGAGGTGGCAGAGGTAGGGCAGTGCTAGATAAAACACATGGAGTTTCTTTTTTGGGGTGATGAAAATGCTCTAAAGTTGACTGTGGTGATGGCTGCACATATCTGCAAATATACTAAGAACCACTGAATTGTGTACTGTAAATGGGTGAAATGTATGGTATGTGAACCATATCTTAATAAAGCTGGTTAAAAAAACTATGGAAAAATACCATTTTTTCTCACATCTGCTTAGTAAATACTTAAAATACACTGTTTGCTGAAGGGGGCTTCTGGGTACTGGTAATGTTCTATTTCCTAATTTGGGTGGTAGTGCAAAAGTGAATTTATTTTGTGGTAATTATCAGTGTACTTTTCTGTATGAAGGTTATACTTCAGTAACAACATCCATAAAAATGCACACACAAATACAATATGTTGGTGATGGTATGGGTAAACAGACACTCATACTTTGTTACTGGGGATATAAACTGACAAAACTTCTTAGGTAGGTAAACTTGAGATTTATACACAATAAAAAACATATGTTCTTGTTCCAAAGATATATACTCACATGTGTACAAAAATATGTACAAGATCTTTACTGCAACCTTGTCTGTAAGAGAAATGGTGTGGAAAAATTATAAATGCCAATCAACTGGGGCCTGGGTAAATATATTATGGCACAATCACAACAGGGAACACTAGCCATTTAATCTTTTTTTTGTTTGTTTTTTGAAAGAGAGTCTTGCTCTGTCATCCAGGCTAGAGTGCAGTGGTATGATCTTGGCTCACGGCAACCTCAGCCTCCTGGCTTCAAGCAGTTCTCCTGCCTCAGCCTCCCGAGTAGCTGGGATTACAAGCACCCGCCACCGCGCCCAGCTACTTTTTGTATTTTTAGTAGAGACAGGGTTTCACCATCTTGGCCAGGTAGGTCTCGAACTCCTGACCTCATGATCCACCCGCCTTGGCCTCCCAAAGTGCTGGGATTACAGGCGTGAGCCACCATGCCTGGGCTAAAAATTTTAATTAAAAAAAAGAGATAGAAGAAAGAAGGTACAGGATAGTGTAACCGTGTATATAGTATATCACTCTATGTGGGGAGAAAATAAACTAAGGTGGAGGTGGAGGAATATCTACACACATACACACACACCCACACACCCACAACAGAACATCTTTGGCAGGACACACAAGAAACTAGTGATCACAACTGGTTCTGAGGAGGGGACACTGGGAAAATGAGAGATGTACTTTTCACTTTGTATTTTTTTAAAAAGGTAGACACCAATTTAAATAAATGAATTATTCTAAAGTAAAAGAACGCTGCTTCAACATGTAAATGCCGCTAAGCTTCTAAAAGTTAAAATCTGAAATGTTATAAATTCTGAAATCTTTCTTATCTCCCATTTCAAAAGTTAAATTCTCAAACCATTAAGTGGTAGTAACAGTAGTAATAATAAATAGCTACTTACATCAACACCTCCAAACAAGTCAAAAATATAAGTATTTGGATAAGTGGTTTCTTGGGTAAGTTTCCTCTCTTCAGTAACAAATGCCATAGCCTCCATGGAGAGAAGAGGAGAAATTTCCTAGTTTTTTAAAAAAAAAGTACATACAGACATTGTATTAGTAACCAACACAGGCGAGACACTTAAAGCATCAGTTTGTGCTTTAGTCCCAACTTGAATTCCCATGAACACAAAGACAGTCCCCAAAGAACCACACTTCCTAGTATTCAGGCCCCTGTAAAGCCCTTTCTCACACTGAATCTGCGCTGGTATGACATACCTCAACTAACAGAATGTGGTAGAAGTGACACTAGGCCACTTTCAGCATAAGCCTTAAGAAAGCCTGGTAGGCCAGGTGCCGGGCTCACACCTGTAATCCCAGCACTTTGGGAGGCTAAGGTGGGTGGATTACTTGAGGTCAGGAGTTTGAGATCAGTCTGGCCAACATGGCAAAACTCCATCTCTACTAAATATACAAAAATTAGCCAGGCGTGGTGTTACACACCTGTAATCCCAGCTACTCGAGAATCTGAGGCATAAGAATCACTTGAGCCAGGGAGGCAGAGGTTGCAGTGAGTCAAGACAGAATCACTGCACTCCAGCCTGGGCAACAGAGGGAGACTGTCTCCAAAAAAAAAAAAAAAAAAAAAAAAAAGCCTGACAGACTTGGCTCTTGTCATCCTGGAACCCAAACATCATGCTGTGGGAACAACACAGACAACTTCGGAGGCCATGAGGATAAGAACTGAGGCCACGACCAATATCCTTAGCTGATCTCCAGCTGACAGGCAGCACCAACCTGCCAGGGATGTGAGAGAGACCACTTTGGACATTCCAGATATCTCAGTACCACCCTACCCAACAGCACATGAAGCAGAAGAGCCACTCAATCAACCAAGAATTGTTGAGAGATAAATGATGCTTGCTACTTTCGGCTGCTAAGTTTCGGGGTGACTAGTTCTGTAGCAATAACCAAGTCACTGCTCAAATATCATCTCCTGCAGGAAGTCTTCCTGATTTCCCCCAACCAGAAGCATGCTCTTCAGACCCCGCAAACAATCTACAACTCATTTGTAACATTTAGCACTTTTACTTTGAACCTATTTACAAGCCTATGTTATTTTGTTATTTCTTCCCTAGACTAAATGTTCCTTGAAGACAACACAAACAGATCCCACTTTGTATTCCCCACAGATTCCAAGACACAGTATTTGATATAGTACACATAGGGTAGTAGTTCCCAAACTGAGGGCCACAGAATCCTTTGTTGGAACAAAGCTAAGAGGAAAAAAATCTTATAAGAAAACCTAAAACATAGTAAGTTTCAAGTAAGTATTTATTGAATGAAGAAATGATGATCACAGCAAAGATATACAAATATTAATTTCCCTCCCCTTTAATTTCACCTCAATCTCACATCTGAGATTCTGCAGGAAGCAAATAATGTGCAATTCTTTGAAAAGCATTTTTAAACAAGTGTAAGAAGCTATAATTATTTCTATCAGACTGTGAGAAGATTAAAAATATGAAAATGTCTCTTCTTAAAGGTAAAGACTATGTTTAGTTTCGATTACATTTTAAAATAACTATGCGATATAATAATCAAAACTTCACCTCTGAAGAACATTGTCATTCAATTTCATTACGTTCAATATAACTTACATGGGTTTTTATTTTTATTTTTTATTATACTTTAAGTTCTAGGGTACATGTGCACAAGGTGCAGGTTTGTTACATATATACATGTGCCATGTTGGTGTGCTGCACCCATTAACTCGTCATTTACATTAGGTATATTTCCTAATGCTATCCCTCCCCCAGCTCCCCACCCCACAACAGGCCCCGGTGTGTGTTCCCTGCCCTGTGTTGGTGTTCTCATTGTTCAATTCCCACCTATGAGTGAGAACATGCGGTGTTTGGTTTTCTGTCCTTGTGACAGTTTGCTCAGAATGATGGTTTCCAGCTTCATCCATGTCCCTACAAAGGACATGAACTCCTCCTTTTTTATGGCTGCATAGTATTCCATGGTGTATATATGCCACATTTTCTTTTCCTTTTTTTTTTTTTTTTTTTTTTTTGAGACGGAGTTTTGCTCTTGTTGCCCAGGTTGGAGTACAATGGCGTGATCTCGGCTCACCGCAACCTCCACCTCCCAGGTTCAAGCGATTTTCCCGCCTCAGCCTCCCAAGTAGCTGGGATTATAGGCATGTGCCACCAAGCCCAGCTAATTTTGTACTTTTAGTAGAAACGGGGTCTCTCCGGTGGGTCAGGCTGGTCTCAAACTCCCGACCTCAGGTGATCCGCCCACCTCAGCCTCCCAAAGTGCTGGGATTACAGGCGTGAGCCACTGTGCCCCGCCATATGTCACACTTTCTTAATCCAGTCTATCACTGATGGGCATTTGGTTTGGTTCCAAGTCTTTGCTATTATGAAAAGTGCCACAATAAACATACGTGTGCATGTGTCTTTATAGCAGCATGATTTATAATCCTTTGGGCATATACCCAGTAATGGGATGGCTGGGTCAAATGGTATTTCTAGTTCTAGATCCTTGATGAATCGCCACACTGTCTTCCACAATGGTTGAACTAGTTTACAGTCCCACCAACAGCATAAAAGTGTTCATATTGCTCCACATCATATTGCATCCTCTCCAGAACCTGTTGCTTCCTGACTTTTTAATGATCACCATTCTAACTGGTGTGAGACGGTATCTCATTGTGGGTTTGATTTGTATTTCTCTGATAGTCAGTGATGATGAGCATTTTTTCACGTGTCTGTTGGCTGCATAAATATCTTCTTTTGAAAAGTGTCTGTTCATATCCTTTGCCCACTTTCTGATGGGTTTGATCTTTTCTTGTATATTTAAGTTCTTTGTAGATTCTGGATACTAGTTCTTTGTCAGATGAGCAGATTGTAAAAATTTTCTCCCATTCTGTAGGTTGCCTGTTTACTCTGATGGTAGTTTCTTTTGCTGTGCAGAAGCTCTTTAGTTTAATTAGATTCCATTTGTCTGTTTTGGCTTTTGTTGCCATTGCTTTCGGTGTTTTAATCATGAAGTCCTTGCCCATGCCCATGGCCTGAATGGTATTGCCTAGGTTTTCTTCTAGGGTCTTTATGGTTTCATGTCTAACATTTAAGCCTTTAATCCATCTTGAATTAATTTTTGTATAAGGTGTAAGGAAAGGATCCAGTTTCAGCTTTGTACATATGGCTAGCCAGTTTTCCCAGCACCATATATTAAATACGGAATCCTTTCCCCATTTCTTGTTTTTGTCAGGTTTATCAAAGATCAGATGGTTGTAGATGTGTGGTATTACTTCTGAGGTCTCTGTTCAGTTCCACTGGTCTATATCTCTGTTTTGGTACCAGTACATGCTGTTTTGGTTACTGTAGCCTTGTGGTATAGTTTGAAGTCAGGTAGCATGATGTCTCCAGCTTTGTTCTTTTGGCTTAGGATTGTCTTGGCAATGCGGGCTCTTTTTTGGTTCCCTATGAAGTTTAGTTTTTCAAATTCTGTGAAGAAAGTCATTGGTAGCTTGATGGGGATGGCATTGAATCTATAAATTACCTTGGGCATTATGGCCATTTTCACAATATTGATTCTTCCTATCCATGAGCATGGGATGTTCTTCATTTGTTTGTGTCATCTTTTATTTCATTGAGCAGTGGTTTGCAGTTCTCCTTGAAGAGGTCCTTCACAATCCTTGTAAGTTGGATTCCTAGGTATTTTATTCTCTGAAGCAATTGTGAATGGGAGTTCACTCATGATTTGGCTCTTTGTCTATTATTGGTATATAGGAATGCTTGTGATTTCTGCACACTGATTTTGTCTCCTGAGACTTTGCTGAAGTTGCTTATCAGCTTAAGGAGATTTTGGGCTGAGACAATGGTGTTTTCTAAATATACAATCATGTCATCTGCAAACAGGGACAATTTGACTTCCTCTTTTTCTAACTGAATACCCTTTCTTTCTTTCTCCTGCCTGATTACCCTGGCCAGAACTTCCAACACTATGTCGAATAGGAGTGGTGAGAGAGGGCATCCCAGTCTTGTGCCAGTTTTCAAAGGGAATGCTTCCAGTTTTTGCCCATTCAGTATGATATTAGCTGTGGGTCTATCATAGTTCTTATTATTTTGAGATATGTACCATCAATAACTAGTTTATTGAGAGATTTTAGCATGAAGGGCTGTTGAACTTTGTCAAAGGCCTTTTCTGCATTTATTGAAATAATCATGTAGTTTTTATCTTTGGTTCTGTTTATATGATGGATTACGTTTATTGATTTGTGTATGTTGAACCAGCTTTGCATCCCAGGGATGAAGCCAACTTGATCATGGTGGATAAGCTTTTTGATGTGCTGCTGGATTTGGTTTGCCAGTATTTTATTGAGAACTTTTGCATCGATGCTCATCAGGGATATTGGTCTAAAATTCTTTTTTTGTTGTCTCTCTGCCAGGCTTTGGTATCACGATGATGCTGGACTCATAAAATGAGTTAGGGAGGATTCCCACTTTTTCTATTGATTGGAATAGTTTCAGAAGGAATGGTACCAACTCCTCTTTGTACCTCAGGTAGAATTTGGTTGTGAATTCATCTGGTCCTGGACTTTTTTTGGTTGGTAGGCTATTAATTATTGCCTCAATTTCAGAGCCTATCATTGGTCTATTCAGGGATTCAACTTCTTCCTGGTTTAGTCTTGGGAGGGTGTATGTGTCCAGGAATTTATCCATTTCTTCTATATTTTCTACTTTATTTGCATAGAGGTGTTTATAGTATTCTCTGATGGTAGTTTGTATTTCTGTGAGATTGGTGGTAATATCCCCTTTATCATTTTTTATTGCATCTATTTGATTCTTCTCTCTTTTCTTATTAGTCTTGCTAGCAGTCTATCAATTTTGTTGATCTTTTCAAAAAACCAGCTCCTGGATTCATTGATTTTTTGAAGGGTTTTTTGTGCCTCTATCTCCTCCAGTTCTGCTCTGATCTTAGTTATTTTTTGTCTTCTGCTAACTTTTGAGTTTGTTTGCTCTTGCTTCTCTAGTTTTTTAAATTGTGGTTAGGGTGTCAATTTTAGATCTTTCCTGCTTTCTCTCGTAGGCATTTAGTGCTATAAATTTCCCTCTACACACTGCTTTAAATGTGTCCCAGAGATTCTAGTATGTTGTCTTTGTTTTCATTGGTTTCAAAGAACATCTTTATTTCTGCCTTCAATTTGTTACGTGCCCAGTAGTCATTCAGGAGCAGGTTGTTCAGTTTCCACGTAGCTGAATGGTTTTGAGTGAGTTTCTTAATCCTGAGTTCTAGTTTGATTGCACTGTGGTCTGAGAGACAGTCTGTTATAATTTCTGTTCTTTTAAACATTTGCTTTACTTCCATCTATGTGGTCAATTTTGGAATAAGTGTGATGTGGTGCTGAGAAGAACGTATATTCTGTTGATTTGGGGTAGAGAGTTCTGTAGATGTCTATTAGGTCCACTTGGTGCAGAGCTGAGTTCAAGTCCTGGATATCCTTGTTAACGCTCTGTCTCCTTGATCTAATGTTGACAGTGGGGTGTTAAAGTCTCCCATTATTATTGTGTGGGAGTCTAAGTCTCTTTGTAGGTCTCTTAAGGACTTGCTTTATGAATTTTGGTGCTCCTGTATTGAGTGCATATGTATTTAGGATAGTTAGCTCTTCTTGTTGAATTGTTCCCTTCACCATTAGGTAATGGCCTTCTTTGTCTCTTTTGATCTTTATTGGTTTAAAGTCTGTTTTATCAGAGACTAGGATTGCAACCCTGGCTTTTTTTTGGTTTTCCATTTGCTTGGTAGATTTTCCTCCAACCCTTTATTTTGAGCCTATGTGTGTCTCTGCATGTAAGATGGGTTTCCTGAATACAGCACATTGATGGGTCTTGACTCTTTATCCAATTTGCCAGTCTGTGTATTTTTTTTTTTTTTTTTTGAGACAGAGTCTCGCTCTGTCGCCTGGGCTGGAGTGCAGTGGCCGGATCTCAGCTCACTGCAAGCTCCACCTCCTGGGTTTATGCCTTTCTCCTGCCTCAGCCTCCGGAGTAGCTGGGACCACAGGCGCCCGCCACCTTGCCCGGCTAGTTTTTTGCATTTTTTAGTAGAGACGGGGTTTCACCATTTTAGCCAGGGTGGTCTCGATCTCCTGACCTCGTGATCCACCCGTCTCGGCCTCCCAAAGTGCTGGGATTACAGGTTTGAGCCACCGCGCCTGGCCTCAGTCTGTGTATTTTAATTGGAGCATTTAGCTCATTTACATTTAAGGTTACTATTGTTATGTGTGAATTTGATCCTGTCATTATGACGTTAGCTGCTTATTTTGCTCATTATTTGATGTAATTTCTTCCTAGCATTGATGGCCTTTACAATTCGGCATGTTTTTGCAGTGGCTGGTACCAGCTGTTGTTCCTTTCCCCATTTAGTGCTTCCTTCAGGAGCTCTTGTAAGGCAGGCCTGGTGGTGACAAAATCTCTCAGCATTTGCTTGTCTGTAAAGGATTTTATTTCTCTTTCACTTGTGAAGCTTAGTTTGACTGGATATGAAATTCTGGGTTGAAAATTCTTTAAGAATGTTGAATATTGGCCCCCACTCTCTTCTGACTTGTAGAGTTTCTGCTGAGACATCCGCTGTTGGTCTGATGGGCTTCCCTTTGTGGGTAACCCGATCTTTCTCTCCGGTTGACCTTAAAATTTTTTCCTTCATTTCAACTTTGGTGAATTTGACAATTATGCGTCTTGGAGTTGCTCTTCTCAAGGAGTATCTTTGTGGCGTTCTCTGTATTTCCTGAATTTGAATGTTGGCCTGCCTTGCTAAGTTGGGGAAGTTCTCCTGGATAATATCCTGAAGAGTGTTTTCCAACTTGGTTCCATTCTCCCCGTCACTTTCAGGTACACCAATCAGACACAGATTTAGTCTTTTCCCACAGTCCCACGTCTTGGAGGCTTTGTTTTTTCTTTTTACTCTTTTTCTCTAAACTTTTCTTCTTGCTTCATTTCATTCATTTGATCTTCAATCACTGATACCCTTTTTTCCACTTGATCGAATTGGCTACTGAAGCTTGTACATTTGTCACGTAGTTCTCGTGCCACGGTTTTCAGCTCCATCAGCTCATTTAAGGTCTTCTCTATGCTGTTTATTCTAGTTAGCCATTCATCTAATCTTTTTTCAAGGTTTTTAGCTTCTTTGTGATGGGTCTGAACATTCTACTTTAGCTTGGAGAAGTTTGTTATTACCGATCTTCTGAAGACTTCTCTCAATTCGTCAAAGTCATTCTCCATCCAGCTTTGTTCCGTTGCTGGCCAAGAGCTACGTTCCTTTGGAGGAGAAGAGGCACTCTGATTTTTAGAATTTTCAGCTTTTCTGCTCTGGTTTCTCCCCATCTTTGTGGTTTTATCTATCTTTGGTCTTTGATGACGGTGACGTACAGATGGGGTTTTGGTGTGGATGTCCTTTCTGTTTGTTAGTTTTCCTTCTAACATTCAGGACCATCAGCTGCAGGTCTGCTGGAGTTTGCTGGAGGTCCACTCCAGACCCTGTTTGCCTGGGTATTACCAGCAGAGGATGCAGAACAGCAAATATTGCAGAATGGCAAATTTTGCTGCCTGATCCTCCCTCTGGAAGCTTCGTCTCAGAGGGGCACCCAGCTGTATGAGGTGTCAGTCAGCCCCTACTGGGAGGTGTCTCCCAGTTAGGCTACTGGGGGGTCAGGGACCCACTTGAGGAGGCAGTCTGTCCGTTCTCAGACCTCAAATTCCATGCTGGGAGAACCACTACTCTCTTCAAAGCTGTCAGACAGGGACATTTAAGTCTGCAGAAGTTTCTGCTGCCTTTTGTTCAGTTATGCTCTGTCCCCAGAGGTGGAGTCTACAGAGGCAGGCAGGCCTCCTTGAGCTGCGGTGGGCTCCACCCAGTTCCAGCTTCCTGGCCGCCTTGTTTACCTACTCAAGCCTCAGCAATGATGGACGCCCCTCCCCAAGCCTCACTGCCGCCTTGCAGTTCAATCTGAGATTGCTGAGCTAGCAGTGAGCGAGGTTCCATGGATGGGGGACCCTCAGAGACAGGCACAGGATATAATCTCCTTGTATGCCGTTTGCTAAGACCATTGGAAAAGCGCAGTATTAGGGTGGGAGTGTCCTGATTTTCTAGGTACCGTCTGTCATGGCTTCCCTTGGCTAGGAAAGGGAATTTCCTGACCTCTTGCACTTCCCAGGTGAGGCAATGCCCCACCCTGCTTCAGCTAACACTCCGTGGACTGTACCCACTGTCCGACAAGCCCCAGTGAGATGAACCCAGTACCTCAGTTGGAAATGCAGAAATCACCGTCTTCTGCATTGCTCATGCTGGGAGCCGTAGACTGGAGCTGTTCCTATTCGGCCATCTTGGAACTGGACCCCTAACTTACAGGGGTTTTACCTGCATTAGAGCTGGTGCTCTAAATTCAAATTTAGATCCAAACTACCGCTAAAGTTTGATAAAATAACTCCAGCTCTACTGAATCAGAATTTCAGGGGTGGGGTCCAGAACTCTGTTTTAAAAAGTTCTTCAGGTGATTCACAAACACACTCCAGTTTGAGAACAATTATCCTAGCATAATGTCTCTGCTCTTTCCACTCATTTCCCAATCATCAAACCTGGGACCTTCATCTTCTTATGTTAGTAATAATAATCAACAACCACAAGGCCCCTTCCATGAGCCTTCAGCAATATGGAATCTTCTAAACCCTTTTCTTTTTTTTTTTTTTTTTTTTTTTTTTGGAGTCTCGCTCTGTTGCCCAGGCTGGAGTGAAGTGGCGCAATCTTGGCTCACTGCAAGCTCCACCTCCCAAGTTCATGCCATTCTCCTGCCTCAGCCTCCCGAGTAGCTGAGACTACAGGCGCCTGCCACCACACATGGCTAATTATTTTTTGTATTTTTAGTCTCGATCTCCTGACTTCATGATCTGCCCGCCTCAGCCTCCCAAAGTATTGGGATTACAGGCGTGAGCCACCTCGCCCAGCCTTCTAAAGTTTTCAAAAAGAATGTCATCTGAATCGCAGGATAGTGCTGACCTCCCAAAATTAAGGAAGCCCTGCCACAAAATAAACACACATAGAGACCAGAAGGATAACACAGGGAACCTAACGGTGATTATCTTGGGATGATGGGATTATAGGTGATGTTTATGTTTATTTTCTGAATTTCTCAAATTTTCTATAGCTTACACAGTAAAAAGAGGCTATTTTTAAAAGCCAACAGAAGGGAAAAAAAAAGCAGACAGCTTGTGTCACCTAGAGTCCCTGAATACGCCCCTCAAAGTTCCTTAAGAGTTACCTTGAGGATGTTTTGGCACTCAGCGAAGTCACTGTGGAGGTGGCTGGTGGCGTGCAGCTTGAAGAGCAGCTGAGGAATTCCACTCCACTTGGATTGTTTGTCCCTCTCTGTCAAAAAAGTCTCAGTGAACTGTGAGTTAAAAAAAAAGAGAAAACATATTATTGTATTATTGATAATAGCTGATATGGCAAAGGAGAGCAGCTGACTTCCAAACCCACCCAGGACAGTTACAAATTTCTTTCTAAGCGCTACTATAAAAGGCCTCTGTCTAGAAATCTTCAAAACCTCCCTAACAGCCTATTACTATAAGTAGTAAGGAGGAGGGACTGGAAATACTCTTGTACCACCCACAAACAGCACAATATCATTGAGAGTGGACTCAGACTAACAGTAAACATATACTGGAAATTCTAGGGCAACTGCTAAAAGTACTTTTACAAGAAGAATAATTGATATGCTAAGAGATGAAAAATAATGGAACCATATAAACTGCACAGTTAAGCCCATAAAAGGCAGGAAAAGAGGAGAAGATAAACAAATAACAAGTATAATAAAACAAACATGGTATATATTAATCCAACTATATCAATAATCGCTGTAAATATCTATAAATGGTCTAAACAATCAAAGGACAGAGACTACAAGAATGGATTTTAAAAACCAAGATCCAACAATGTGCTGTCTACAAGAAACCCACTTAAATATACATACAGATACGTTAAAAGTAAGGGGAAAGGCCGAGCACGGTGGCTCACATCTATAATCCCAACACTTTGTGAAGTCAGGGCAGGTGGATCACCTGAAGTCAGGAAGTTTGAGATCAGCCTGGCCAACATGATAAAACCCCGTCTCTACTAAAACTACAAAAATTAGCCGAGTGTGGCGGGAAGTGTCCATAATCCCAGCTACTCGAGAGGCTGAGGCAGAAGAACTGTTTGAACTCAGGAGGCAGAGGTTTCAGTCAGCCAAGATGACGCCATTGCACTCCAGCTTGGGTGACAGAGCAAGACTCTGTCTCAAAAAATAAAAAAATAAGTAGATGGAGAAAGATAAATCGTGTAAAAAGAAAGATGGAGTAGTTATATTAATTTCAGACAAAGCAGGCTTCATAAAAAAAATTATCAGAAATAAAGTGGGTCATTTCATAATGACAAAGGGGTCAATTCTCCAAGAAGATACAACAATCCTTAACATATATGCATCTAACAACAGCATGTCAAAATATGAGGCAAAAACTGCCTAAAAGACCCGCCAGACAAAAAAATGACAAATCAACTCTTACAGTTAAAATATTTTAAACTAAAAGAAAACAAAACTTGTCAAAATTTGTGGGATGCAGCAAAAGCAGTAATAAGCCAGAAGTTTATATCACTGAATGCATATATTAGAAAAGAAGAAATATCTATAGTCAATAATCTAAGCTTCTACCTTAGTAAACCAGAGAAAGAAGAGCAGTTTAAGCCTAGAGCAAACAGAAGAAAAAAATAAAAATGAGAGCAGAAATCACTGAAATTGAAAACAGAAAATCAAGAGAGAAAACAAAACCAAATGTTAGTCCTTTAAAAAGATTAACACAATCCATAAACTCTAACCAGGCTTATCAAGAAAAAAAGAAACACAAATTACTAATATGCGATACATAAGAGGAATTATTATTACTGACTCTATGGACTTCGAAGGATAAAAGAGTATTATGAACTCTTTGCCCTGATATTTGCCTAGCACTTTGGGAGGCCAAGGCAGGAGGATCGCTTGAGCTCAGGAGTTCAAGACCAGCCTGAGCAACATAGCAAGAGCTCGTCTCTACTAAAAATCAAAAAAATTGGCCAAAGGTGGTGGTGCACACCTCTGGTCTCAGCTACTCAGAAGGATGAGGTGAGAAGATCACTTGAGCTTGGGAGAATGAGGCTGCAGTAAGCTATGACAGCACCACTACACTCCAGCCCGGGTGACAGCGCAAGATCAAAAAAAAAAAAAAAAAAGACATCATTATAACCAAAGAATGGAAACAATTCAAATGTCCATCAACTGATGAATAAATATAGTATATCCATCCAATGGAATATTATTCAGCAAGAAAAAGTAATGATGTACTGAAATTATAACAAGGATAAATCTTGAGACCATTATGTTAAATCAAAGAAGCCAGTGTCTAGCTGGGCACAGTGTCTCATGCCTGTGATGCCAAAGTAATCCCAGCACTTTGGGAGGCCAAGGTGGACAGATTCCTTGAGCTCACGAGTACAAGACCAGCCTGAGCAACATGGTGAAACCCCATCTCTACAAAAAAAAAAAAAAAATACATATATACACACACACACACACACACATATATATACACACACACATATAAATTAGCCGGGTGCGGTGGCACATGCCTGTAGTACCAGCTACTCGGGAGGCTGAGGTGGGAGAATGGCTTGAGCCCTGCAGGCAGAGGTTGCAGGGAGCCAAGATTGCGCCACTGCACTCCAGCCTGGGCAATAAAGCCAGACCTTGTCTCGAAACAGAAACAAAAACAAAGCGTGACTCCATCTTTAAAACAAAAACAAAAACGAAACTAAAAGCCAGTCTCAAAAGGCCACATATTGTTTGATTCTATTAATTTAAAATGTCCAGAATAAGCATATCCGGAGACAGATTACTGCTTGGCAAAGGTTGTGGGGATGGGGAAATTGGGGAGTAACTGCTACTGAATACAAGGTTTCTTCTTTGGGTGATAAAATGTTCTAAAACTGATTGTGATTGACAGATGCATAACTTTGTGCATACAGTAAAAACCACTGACTTGTACATTTCATTTTTCGTTTTTTTTTAACCCTTTTATCTCCTTGGTTTACCAACTTGTACACTTTAAAAGGGTGACATGTGCAATATGTGAATTACATCGCAATAAAGCTGCTACAAAAACTAAATAAACAAATGAACATAAGTGAACTTTTTAGGGTGACAATGTTCTAAAACCAGATTGTGGTGATGGTTGCATAACTTCATCAATTTGCTGAAAATCACTGAATTGTCAACTTTTTTTTTTTTTTTAAGACGGCGTCTCGCTCTCCCGCCCAGGCTGGAGTGCAGTGGCGGGATCTCAGCTCACTGCAAGCTCCGCCTCCTGGGTTCACGCCATTCTCCTGCCTCAGCCTCCCAACTAGCTGGGACTACAGGGGCCCGCCACCTCGCCCAGCTAGTTTTTTGTATTTTTTAGTAGAGACGGGGTTTCACCGTGTTAGCCAGGATAGTCTCGATCTCCTGACCACGTGATCCGCCCGTCTCGGCCTCCCAAAGTGCTGGGATTACAGGCTTGAGATACCGCGCCCGGCCGAATTGTAAACTTATAATGGGTAAATTTTATTGTATATAAATTATGCCTCAATAAAGCTATTTCAGAAATATTTTAAAAAAGAAAAGGGAAGAAAGAATAGGACATTTAAAAGGCAAATATTGTATTAAGCAAGTATATTTAAACACAAAAATGTCAGTTATTATATTAAATCTAACTGTACTAAATGGTCCAATTAAAAACAAAGTTTGGGCTGGTTGCAGTGGCTCATGCATGTTACTGCAGCACTTTGGGAGGCAGAGACAGACAGATCGCTTGAGCCCAGGAGTTAAAGACCAGCCTGGGCAACACGGGGAAACCCTGTCTCTACCAAAGAAAAAAAAAAATTAGGCACAGCAATGTGTGCCTGTAATCCCAGTTACTCAGGCAGCTGAGGCAGGAGGATCCCTTGATGCTAGGATGCCGAGACTGCAGTAACCTGTGATCTGGTACCATACTCCAGTCCGGGCGACAGAATAAGACCTTGTCTCAAAAAATAAATAAAAAATTAAATTAAATTAAAATAAAATAAAATAAAATAAAAACAAAGTTTGTTATGCCACTTACCAGAGAACAGAAATGCTAAAAGAATGGGAAATAATACACAATGTAAACATATATCAAAAGGTAGTATAACTATATTAAAATCAGCAAGAGCAAAGAAAAATCATTACCAAGCCAGGCGTGGTGGCTCATGCCTTTAATCCCAGCACTTTGGGAGAGCAAGATAGGTAGATCACTTAGGTCAGGAGTTCGAGACCAGACTGGCCAACATGGTGAAACCCCGTCTCTACTAAAAACGCAAAATTAGCTGGGCATGGTGGCACAGGCCTGTAATTCCAGTTACTCAGGAGGCTGAGGCAGGAGAATTGCTTGAACCCAGGAGGTAGAGGTTGCAGTGAACCGAGAATGCACCATTGCACTCCAGCCTGCGTGACAGAGCAAGACTCCATCTCAAAAAAAAAAAAAAAGTACTACCAGAGATAGGCACTTTAATAAGGATAAAAATGGCAACCTGGATAATGTTAATGGTCCTAAATTTGAAAATATCTAATAAAAACTTCAACATACATAAAGCAAAAACAGACAAGGCTAAAAGGAGAAATAAAGAAATCCATAATCGTAATGGGAGATTTTACATATCTCTTTCAAAAACTGATACATACAGACAAAAATTAGTGAGAATATAGAATATTTTAACACAATTAAACAAAACGGACACACCTCGAGCAGTATATCTAGTAAATGCACTCTACGTGTCCTTTACAAATATAAAGAGAACATCTGCAAAATGACCAGCTGGTAGGCCATACAGCAAATTCAATACATTTAAATGAACTGAAATACAGACTATGTTCCACATCAGAAAGATAATTATAAAATCCCCATGTTTGGAAAACAATATACTTCTCAAAAATGCACGAGTCAAAGAAAAAATCAAAGTGGATACATGAAAATATCCTGAAAGATAATGAAAATACTACACATTCAAACTGATGAGGTACAACTTAAGCCATGCTTAGTGACCACTATAACCCTGATACCAAAACCTGTCAAAAGGAAAACTGCAGGCCAGTTTCACTAATGACGATGTAAGGAAAAAACCCTAATTCAAAAACTGAATTAAATTTAAAATTTGTATCAGAAATTAAAAGTTGGTTTAATATTTGAAAATTTTATTCAATGCAATTCAACATATTGATAACAAAAACGAGAATGATATGAATACCTCAACTGATACAGAAAAAGCATCTGATAAAATTCAACATCCATTCATGATAAACTCAAACTAAAAAAAAATTAATTTCTG